GTCATTCAGTCAAGTCAGTAAGTCATTCAGTCAAGTCAGTCAGTAAGTCATTCAGTCAAGACAGTTAGTAAGTCATTCAGTCAAGTCAGAAAGTCATTCAGCCAAGTCAGTAAGTCATTCAGTCAAGTCAGTAAGTCATTCAGTCATTTAGTAAGCCATTCAGTCAAGTCAGTAAGTCATTCAGCCAAGTCAGTAAGTCATTCATTCAAGTCCAGTAATTCATTCATTCCTGCCAGTAGGACATTCAGTAAAGTCATTAAGTCTTTCAGTCAAGTCACAAGTCGTTCAGTCAAGTAAATAAGTCATTCAGTCAAGTCAATAAGCCTTTCCCAGTCAAATCAGTCAGTCATTCCCAGTCAAGTTAGTAAGTCATTCAGCCAAGTCGTAAGTCATTCAGTAAGCCAATAAGTCATTCAGCCAAGTCAGTAAGTCATTCAGTCAAGTCAATAGCCCATTCAGTCAAGTCAGTAAGTCATTCAGTAATCATAAGTCATTCAGTCAAGTCAGTAAGTCATTCAGTCAAGTCAGTAAGTCATTCAGCCAAGTCAGTAAGTCATTCAGCCAAGTCAGTAAGTCATTCAGCCAAGTCAGTAAGTCATTCAGCCAAGTCAGAAAGTCATTCACCCAAAGTCAGTAAGTCTTCACCCCAAGTCAGTAAGTCATTCAATCAAGTCAATAAGTCATTCATTCAAGTCAGTAAGTCGTTCAGCCAAGTCAGTAAGTCATTCAGTCAAGTCAGTGAATCATTCAGTCAAGCCAATAAGTCATTCAGTCAAGTCAGTAAGTCATTCAGTTAAGTCATTCAGTCAAGTCAGTAAGTCATTCAGTCAAGTCAGTAAGTCATTCAGCCAAGTCAGTAAGTCATTCAGCCATGTCATTAAGTCATTCAGCCAAGTCAGTAAGTCATTCAGTCAAGTCAGTAAATCATTCAGTCAAGTCAGTAAGTCAAGTCAGTAAGTCATCCAGTCAAGTCAGTAAATCATTCAGTCAAGTCAGTAAGTCATCCAGTCAAGTCAGTAAATCATTCAGCCAAGTCAGTAAGGCATTCAGCCAAGTCAGTAAGGCATTCAGTCAAGTCAGTAAGTCATTCATTCCTGCCAGTAAGACATTCAGTAAAGTCAGTAAGTCTTTCAGTCAAGTCAGCAAGTCGTTCAGTCAAGTCAATAAGTCATTCAGTCAAGTCAATAAGCCATTCAGTCAAATCAGTTAGTCATTCAGTCAAGTCAGTCATTCAGTCAAGTTAGTAAGTCATTCAGCCAAGTCAGTAAGTCATTCAGTCAAGCCAATAAGTCATTCAGCCAAGTCAGTAAGTCATTCAGTCAAGTCAATAAGTCATTCAGTCAAGTCAGTAAGTCATTCATTCAAGTCAGTAAGTCATTCAGTCAAGTCAGTAAGTCATTAAACCCAAAGTAAAGTAAGTCATTCAGCCAACCCAAATTTAGTCATTCAGGCCAAGTCAGAAAAGTCATTCAGCAATCAGTAAAGTCTTCAGCAAAGTCAGTAGTCATTCAGTCAAGTCGTAAGTCATTCAGCCAAGTCGTCACACCTCTTTTTTAAGTGTACAAAGTAAACACTTTCTTATGGGTTTTTCTGGTCTTACATCCTTTGTTTACTTTGTTCATGAAAGACTTAAATGCTTATAGGTTTTTTGGGCACTTTCAGCAACATGGTGGCCACTGGGTTGTCATGATTGCTTGGTAGATACAAATTAAATAATCAAAACAATTTACAAACACAGCTACCTTATAGCAGAGATGGACGGAATGGACACTATGAAATACGAATTGTGGGGTGGTTTTTTGGGGGGGGGGTGGCAGCAGATGGTAGGAGGTCTGCGGTTACCCAAAACAGGCGGCCACTTCAGGAAAAAGCGATTTTTTTTCCTTTCCACAAACTGACCGTGTTAAATTTAATGTTACTAAAATTGTGCCGCATTCTTCAGTCTTTGCTATACCCAATCTGCCAAATAAATCGTGCTAAATGATGGTCTACAGTGTGAGCAGCTCCAGTACTTTGTGTAACTGATCGATACTGCACACTCACTAAATGACTGGCATGTGAACCAGTCACACATAGTGTCCAAGTACTCAATTAACACAGGTACCCAGAACTTGCCACGTGGAGGCGGCTGCTCTTAAAGTCCTTTTTTTTTTTTTTGAATTAGTACAAATAATAAAAAGAAACCCGGGGTAAACCCAAATTTGGGCAATTGTAACAATAAACAAAAAAATTCGGCTCAACCAAATTGGCAGTGAAATTTAATGACTTTTGTGTTGCTCGGAGTACGCTTCAGGCCAGGTCTCTCCTTGGGTCCTGCCTAGGCCCTTCAGGCCATGTCTTCAGCTGGGGCTTACGATCCATTATTCCAATAACCTGTTTCATGAGCAGGGTGACTCCCACCACATCACTTTTTTGGGAACAAATTCATTCAGTATCAGCACTCGAACAGCCTTCTGGAATGAAATAAGTTCGTATCTCAAGGTACCACTTTATCAGCTGCTCTAGACACTGTTTCAGAGCACTGCTTCTAGATTTGTCAGGGACCTCTTCACTCAAAAAGTCTAACTTTTAAGTTAGTCCAGTCAGAAAGTCATTCAGTATGTCAGTCAAGTCAGTAAGTCAGTCAATTCTGTAAGTCATTCAAACAAGTCAATCAGTCAGTTATTCATCACATATACTCATATACAGCCTCTCCTCACTTAACAACAGATTTCCCTTTTCCTAAGACCACGTCGGTAAATGAATTCGTTGTTAAGTGAGGAGCATACTATGATGGTTGTGGGTTTGTGTCGACCATCTTTGATATTGTTTTAATGTCACCATAGCACCATTTATAACATTTCTGATATATTTTTAAATGTTTATACAGTAGTTGTGTGTGTTTTTCTAATAAAACAGAATGAGGAAGTCAACTCTAATATACATTATTTAGGTTTCATACCAGTCAGGCCCATCGAAAACTTGAGGCCTTGGTAAACGATTATGTCGCTAAGTGAGGAGATGGAGTATATACACCTTCCATCGACTTACAACCTGCTCGACTTACGACCACTCGGCTTATGACCATGTTTTTATGCCAAATTTCTGGGAAATAAACAACTATTTGTGTTGTACACAGTGTTTATCCTAAACCTTACTGTATAAAATACAATACTACCCAAAAAAAAGTTAAGTAAAACATGAAAAACCAAAATAAAACAATAAAATAGTCATTACAAAAAAGTTTTGTTGATATTTAATAGTAAAGTTCGACTTACAACCATTTCGATGACAACCATTTCTCGGAACCAAAACTCGGTCATAAGTGGAGGTAGGTGTATATAAATATGTTTATTTTTTGACACAGCTGTTTCCCACCAAGGCAGGGTGACCCAAAAAGAAAAAACTTTCATCATTCAACACTTTCACCATTCATACATAATCACTGTCTTTGCAGAGGTGCTCAGATACGACAATTTCGATGTCCCTCCAAACTGCCAATATCTCAAATTCCTCCTTTAAAATGTAGGCATTGTTACTTCCCCTTCCAGGACTCTAAGTTGACTAACCAGTTTCCCTGAATCCCTTCACAAAATATTTCCCCGCTCACACTCCAACAGCTTGTCAGGTCCATTCACTCCTAACACTCATGCACATATGAATGGAAGTCCAAGCCCTTGCCCACAAAACCTCCTTTACCCCCCCTCTTATAGTGGTACTTCTAAAAATCCTGTTTGGGAAGCATGCAATTGATCAAGAACTGGTTTCAAAAGGGACACCCTCTCATCCCCCTTTTCTGTTTTTTTCATGTCCATAAAGCCTGTCAGGGAAACTCTTGCCCGTGAACTCAATATCTGGTTCTCGGGTTTATGGTACCTTGGTATATAGACACTACATTGTCCAGGATTACATTTGTTGTCCATCTTAACATATTCTCTAAATCCAGACATTACATGGTTTTGAGCAGCTCTCAGCTACTTTGTGTAACTGATCATGGTACTGCAAAATCACTCATGACTGGTCATGTAGCAACAGTCACACATGGTGTCCAAGTACTCTCAGTTACACAAGGTAAACCCCGAACTTGCCACGTGGAGGCGGCTGCTCTTCAAGTTCCTTTTTTTTTTTTTTTTTTTTTTTTTTTTTATACAAAATACGTAACAAATAATAAACAAAAGAAATCCGAGGTCAACCCAAAATTTTTCCCAAAATGTAAAAAAAAAATAAACAAAAAAAAACCGAGCTCAACCAAAATTGGCTTTGAAGAAATTTAATGATTTTTTGTGTTGTTCGGAGGTACGTCTTAAGGCCAGGGCTTCCTTTGGGTCCCGGGTGAGGCCCTTCAGGGCCATGGTCATCAGCTGGTGGGGCTTACGATCCATTATTCCAATAACCCGTTTGATGAGGCAGGGCGACTCCCACCACATCCTTTTCGTCGGACCCGGCTGGGGCCCCTAGCAGCTTCATAACAGGTCCAGGGGCTGAATTCCCAAAAAATTGTCGATGCGGTTCTTTTCATAGTCACCATAAACCAAGGTTGGCCTGGGTGAGTTGAAAGTCCAAAATCAAATTTTAGGGTTTTTTGGGCATTTTGGGTCGGTTCTGTCTACCATTACATTTTTTTGTTTAAGGTCCAGATGGACAATGCATTTTTTGTGGATTTAAATCAAATTCTTTATGATGCTTTCTATGGCTTTTAGCCAAAAAAAATCATCTAATTTTTCCCTACCTATCTCCTGGTTGTGGTAAGTGTTTTTAAGGTCCCCTACTCCCAAAAAAAGGGCATAAAATAACAAACCTATCTCAGGAGACAGACCCCGAAGTCTGGGAGCTCCACCTGCACCATTGAGTTTCTCCAAGATCGGGCCTCGCGCAGACAATCCGTTTCTCGGGGATTAGGGTCAAAGATGTTTTTGAGGACACTGGTTGTGTCGTGTCCCGGAAGATTCCAGAGCTGGGTCTTACCACACCCTCCATAACCGAGGTCCTTAATTTTAAGGTCCTTTTCATTTTCCCGAATCCACTTGGGTCAAAAGATTTCTCCCGAAGTCGGCGAGAGCGTATCCTGAAACAGTCCATTTGTCTCTAGGCGACGGACTTAGAGGAAGAAGCAGCCGCGATGAAAGTGAGCACGCAAGCTTTTCCAATCAGCCGATGATTTATATATATAGATTTGTAAGAAAGCTCCCCGGGATATACTCTCAATAGTAGTCACTATTTTATATAGTCAGGGGAAAATTCTTGAATATTAAAAATTTTCTGAGAAAACACCCAGAGATATATTCTCAATAGTCAGTCAAGTATTTTATGTAGTCAAGTTAGAATTCTTGAATATTAAAATTTACTAAGAAATCACCAGGGATAAAATTCTCAGTAGTCAGTCAACTATTTTTTATAGCCAAAGGAATGCTCTTGACTAAAATTTACTGAGACAACACCCAGGGATATATTCTCAATAGTCAACCAACTATTTTATATAGTCAAGTTAGAATTCTTGAATATTAAAATTTACTAAGAAATCACCCAGGGTTATATTTCCAATAGTCAGTCAACTATTTATTAGTCAGAAAAGCACTTGAATATTAAAATTTACTGAGAAAATGACCCGTGATATATTTTTCAATAGTCATCAAACAGTTATATAGTCAAATTACAATTATTGAATATTTGTCTACGTCTGCGATAGTGAAAAGCAATGACGAATATTTCTTTTGGATGAGTTGTTGTGAAGAAGAGTAATGGTGACAGTGTTGTTGATATATAGTGACAGAGTGTCTAATGCACTTACCTAAGGGTAGTTGCAGGGGTTGAGTCACAGCTCCTGGCCCTGATGTGTAGTATACGTGTGTGTGTAGTGATTGTTGTTATGTGTAGTGATGGTGTTGATGTGTAGTAAATGGTGTTGATGTTTAGTGATGGTGTTGAAGTGTATAATTGTGTAATGATATATAAATGTGTATTGGTGTTGATGATATGCAGTGATGTTTGTGTGTAGTGACGTTGATATGTAGTGATTGTGTGTAGTGACATTGATATGTAGTGATGTTTGTGTGTATGACGTTGATAGTAGTGAGTTTGTGTGTAGTGACGAATATGTAGTGATGTTTGTGTGTAGTGATGATATGTGTGATGTTTGTGTGTAGTGACATTGATTTGTAGTGATGTCTGTGGTAGTGTTTTTGATATGTAGTGTTGTTTGTGTGTAGTGACATGATATGTAGTGAGTTTGTGTGTAGTGACGTTGATATGTAGTGACATAGATATGTAGTGACGTTTGTGTGTAGTGACGTTGTATGTAGTGATTGTGTGTAGTGACATTGATTATGTAGTGATGTTTGTGTGTAGTGACGTTGATATGTAGTGATGTTTGTGTGTAGTGACGTTGATATGTAGTGATGTTTGTGTGTAGTGACGTTGATATGTAGTGATTGTGTGTAGTGACATTGATATGTAGTGATGTTTGTGTGTAATGACGTTGATATGTAGTGATGTTTGTGTGTAGTGACGATATGTAGTGATGTTTGTGTGTAATCACGTTGATATTTAGTGATGTTTGTGTGTAGTGACATTGATATGTAGTGATGTTCGTGTGTAGCAATGTTGATATGTAGTGATATTTGTGTGTAGTGACTTTGATATGCAGTGATGTTGATGTGTATTGATATTTGTGTAGTGATGTTGATTTGTAGTGATTTTGTGTGTATTGACGTTGATATGTAGTGATGTTGATTTGTAGTAATGTTTGTGTGTTGTGATGTTGATATGTAGTGATGTTTGTGTGTAGTTACTTTGATATGTAGTGATGTTTGTATGTAGTGATGTTATGTAGTGATGTTTGTTTAGTGACATTGATATGTAGTGATGTTTATGTGTAGTGACATTGATATGTAGTGATGTGTGTAGTAATGTTGTGCAGTGATGTGTAATGTTGTATAGTTATGTATCATAATTTAGAGTGGTGATGTATAGTGGAACCTCGGCATTCTAAGTTAATTCTTCCCCGAAGGCTGTTGAAGTGCCGATCTGTCCAAGTACCGAACAGATTTTTCCCAACCAATGATTTTATGTATAGTGTAATGAACTAGTTCATTATTGTGATGTATTACGTTGTTTTTACTGGTTAAGGCTGCAAATGTAGCATAAATAATAGTATTACCTTAAATTGTGGGTGCTGATGTTTGTAGATGATTGTGAAGAGAGTGGAGAATTATAGTGTAACTCTACTGTGCTGAGGTGGATGGTAGAGGTTCTGGTACCGGAGGTTGTACTTGAGTGTCTAACTTTCAAGTCATTCACTCAGTCTAGTCAGTAAATCATTCAGTCCATCAAGTTATTCAGTCAGATCAGTAAGTTTTTCAGTCAAGTCAGTAAGTCGTTCAGTCAAGTCAGTAAGTCGTTCAGTCAAGTCACTAAGTCGTTCAGTGAAGTCAGTAAGTCAGACAATTCTGTAAGTCATTCAAACAAGTCAGTCAGTCAGTTATTCATAACATAAACTCATATACAGCCTCTCCCCACTTCACTACAGAGTTCCATTCCTAAGACCACGTCAGTAAACGAATTTGTTGTTAAGTGAGGAGCATACTATAATGGTAGTGGGTTTGTGTCGATCATCTTTGATATTGTTTTAATGTCACCTTTGCACTGTTTATAACATTTCTGATATATTTTTAAATGTTTATATAGTAGTGTACTGTGTATTCTAATAAACAGAATAGAGGAAGTCAACTCTAATATACATTATTTAGGTATTCATACTAGTCAGAAAGCCCTTCGTAAGTCTGAGGCCTTCATAAACTACTCTGTCGCTAAGTGAGGATCGGAGTATATACACCTACCATCAGACTTACGACCGAGTTCAGTTCCGAGAAACTGGTCGTAAGTTGAAATGGTCATAAGTCGAACTTTACTATTGAATGTCAAAACATTTTTGTAATGACTTTATTTTATTGTTTTATTTTGGTATTTCATGTTTTACTTTACTTTTTATGCTGGTAGTACTGTATTTTATACTGTAAGGTTTAGGATAAACACTGTGCACAACACAAATAGTTGTTTATTTCCCAGAAATTTGGCATAAAAAACACGGTCGTAAGTCGAGTGGTCGTAAGTCGAGTAGGTCGTAAGTCGGATGGTAGGTGTATATATATGTATATTTTTTAACACGGCTGTTTCCCACCAAGGCAGGGTGACCCAAAAAGAAAGAGAAAACTTTCATGAAGTCTCCCACTTTAGGCTGACACTACTGAAGTCTCACACTTTAGGCTGACACTACTGAAGTCTCCCACTTTAGGCTGACACTACTGAAGTCTCCCACTTTAGGCTGACACTACTGAAGTCTCCCACTTAGGCTGACACTACTGAAGTCTCCCACTTTAGGCTGACACTACTGAAGTCTCCCACTTTAGGCTGACACTACTGAAGTCTCCCTTTAGGCTGACACTACTGAAGTCTCCCACTTTAGGCTGACACTACTGAAGTCTCCCACTTTAGGCTGACACTACTGAAGTCTCCCACTTTAGGCTGACACTACTGAAGTCTCCCACTTTAGGCTGACACTACTGAAGTCTCCCACTTTAGGCTGACACTACTGAAGTCTCCCACTTTAGGCTGACACTACTGAAGTCTCCCACTTTAGGCTGACACTACTGAAGTCTCCACTTTAGGCTGACACTACTGAAGTCTCCACTTTAGGCTGACACTACTGAAGTCTCCCACTTTAGGCTGACACTACTGAAGTCTCCCACTTTAGGCTGACACTACTGAAGTCTCCCACTTTAGGCTGACACAACTGAAGTCTCCCACTTTAGGCTGACACTACTGAAGTCTCCCACTTTAGGCTGACACTACTGAAGTCTCCCACTTTAGGCTGACACTACTGAAGTCTCCCACTTTAGGCTGACACTACTGAAGTCTCCACTTTAGGCTGACACTACTGAAGTCTCCCACTTAGGCTGACACTACATGAAGTCTCCCACTTTAGGCTGACACTACTGAAGTCTCTCACTTTAGGCTGGCACTACTGAAGTCTTCCACTTTAGGCTGACACTACTGAAGTCTCCCAGCTCAGGCTGACACATTACATTACTTTATGTATGTCACCCATCCCGCATGATGTAATATGGCAGGGAAATATAGCTTTTGTTCCCACAATGTAACTATCACATAGAATAGTGTAGCAACACACTGCTGGTGTTACCACAATGTAACTATAACATAGAATAGTGTAACAACACACTGCTGGTGTTCCCACAATGTAACTATAACATAGAATAGTGTAGCAACACTGCTGGTGTTCCCACAAAGTAACTATCACAGAGAATAGAGTAGCAACACACTGTTGGTGTTCCCACAATCATATAGAATAGTGTAGCAACACACTGCTGGTGTTCCGACAATGTAACTATCACATAGCATAGTGTAGCCAGGGCCGGATTACCGCATAGGCAAACTAGGCATTTGTCTAGGGCCCCGTGCATTTGGGGGCCCCGCGGTCCAAGGGGTTCAGGGGCTCATTCAAGACTGCGCACATGGTGCAAGTGCAAAGGGGTCCCTACCTAAAAAGTTCAAGTGTTTGGAGAGTAAAATTGATTTTTAAAAATTAACCAAAACAAAAATTAATGAAATAAAATAAAATAAAATAAATAAACCTAACCATAGATGGCAACACTCAACACGCCTTTGTTTACATCAGAACAGCTGATAACCCCCCAATTGACAAAAAAAAAATGAATAATAATTAAAAAATTAATAATAATTGATAATGAAAAATTTGTATTTGCATGATTACAGACAGTGATACATCCTCATTATGGCATCTCGTGAACTTGATGTTGGACGTTCTTATGCGAGTGGGTCACAGAAAAGAAAAGAAAATTCAAGAAGAAGAACAGAAAAAGAAAGATGTAGGAAGCTGCAGAAAGATCACAGACATGCTCACGAAAACAGTTTCTGATGTTACCAGTACAGTTGAATCTGCAGATACGTCAGATCATACAGGAAGCCCTCCCTCCATTATTTCTCAGCCAGCATCTACTTCTTTTGTGTCTCCTCTCAATGTCTCAATGGACATTTCATCCACAGGATTTGTCTTAAAAGATCCTGCCTCATGGCCAAATGTAATCCCAGATTCTCTACGTAATGCTTTCATTGCAGAAAACTTCAAACTCTGAACATTGACTTTAGGAAATCAGCAAGGATTTATGATGATGGAAGTCGTCATTGTTTAACCCTTTGACTGTTTCAGGCCCCTCTCTGAAACTGTCATTCTATGTCGCTCAATTTTCAAAAAAAAAAAAAAAAAAAATTTTTCTTATGAAACGATAGAGAATCTTTTCCCGATGGTAATGACACCAAAAGTTCGAAATTTGGTCGAAAACTCGTGGAATTATGCTCCCTCGAAGTTAGCGGTCTCGGCGACATATGTGTATCGGCGATTTCGCCGACTTTGAGCCCTATTTTCAGCCAATTCCATTGTTCCAGTTGACCAAACTCATAGCTATTTCTTTAGAACTCCATTTTATCTATCAGCTGAGTACAAGAAACCTCCCATTTACTAATTTGGACTACCCAATATGGTGGTCAGAAATTGGCAATTTGGCCAATTTCACGCAAACTAAAAAGATGTCAATTTCAAAATAGGGTCCAGAATAAACAAGGTAGACATTCGTGGCACTAAAATAACATATGCTCTGTTCATTAGTCACATCTCTAGGCCCCTCTTATATTATTGCTTTCTATTTTGATTTTTTATTCATACAAAAAATACAAAATTTACTGTTATGCAGACTCTGAAATTATTGTAAAAATGGTTTAAATAATATCAGTGCACTAGTGAAAAAATTTATTAGACTCTCAGTATTGGACTGTGGTGTGTTTTTTTTACTCCTGAACTTTGGTAAAAATCGAACATTTCCGCTACTTTGAGCTCAGTTCAAAGTCGTTTTCGTCGTCAAAGTAATGAAAATCATCTCTATTTCTGTAATATGTTTTCCATTTATCACCTAAGACCATGAAAACGCGAAACAACGTTAAATACTATCGAAAATACACCTCAAAGTCGGCGTTTTATTCCAAAAAAACGAAACAGTTTTTTTTTTCCCCATAACGCAATGTGTGTGCAGGATTTTTTTTTATGTGGGCACACTGACCACACAGACCCATTCTCTCACATGTGGGCCTACCAGCTTTCTCCCGCTTGATTTGAAGCCGCTAGAATTATTGAGTATATATACGTCAGAAACATTGGCTCGTAAGACGTATTAATACGTCGAAAACAGTCAAAAGGTTAAAGTCATCTATGTTTTATAGGAAGCTTGCAAATTCAGAAACTGTGAAAAGATCATGGATGGTATACTCTGAAAGCTCAGGAAAAGTGTACTGTTCAGCATGCCCAAACTATTTCTACCAAAGAAAATACCTTCACACTGGGTTTCAATGACTGGAAAAATTCCAAGTGTTTCGAGGAACATGAAAACAGCACCACTCACAGGAGCTGCATTTTAGCCAGTGTATTTCGTGCACAGAAAAAAGGCTTATGGGATTCTCATTTGGAAAATCAAACTGAAAAAGAGCGCACTTATTGGAGAAAAGTTCTAGAAAGAGTTGTTGCTGTTGTAAAATTCTTAGCTCTAAGAGGACTTGCTTTCCGTGGAGAAAATGAGGTTTTTGGTTCGGAATACAATGGCAATTTCCTAGGGATCATAGAACTGTTAGCACAATTCGATCCATTCTTAGCAAATCATGTGTCACTCCTTGGGAATGCAGGAAGAGGCACTGTAAACTTACATGTCATCTACTATATGCAATGAATTTATTGAACTGATGACTAAGAGAGTCCTCAATAACATCATAGCAGCTGTGAAAACTGCAAAATACTTTGCAATAATGAGATTCAAACCAGATATTTTACAACAGATCAATTGACATCATTGTTGCTTTTTTCGACCCAGTGGTAACCCGTAGGCGTTTAATAAAAATTTTTCCCTTTTT